TTGCTCAGGCAATGTTGTAGCACTTAATATAGGGGAATGGGAGGCTACTGCGCTTGACTGTGGGTTTAAAGCCTAACCCACGAGGGAGGGAGGGAGGCGCGCTCAAAACACGGTGGCGCACAAAATCAAAGCAACAGTTAAGCGTAAGTCCGACTGTTACCTCCTTATGTAGGGCGTTTTCACAGGAACCGAACAACCAAATGTCTACTATCTAGAAGGCACTTCGTGATAGAAGAGGGTGCGGCTTCGTTTTTCAGACTAAAAAAGCCATTTTGGAAAGTGCTCAAATGATCCCCGTATTTACATAGAATATATGTTCTGTCCAGGCATTATCTGGAATTTCGATTTACCTCCCAGGCCCTTAGGCTATTAGTTATTTTCGTTCTTATTGTTCTTTGGAAAGCATTCACTTGATTGCATGTTCAGACTAATGACTCCGGCGTTTTCAGTATAGATTATGTGAATAAATTCAAAAAGCTCTTAACCCGTTACTTATTATCTGTGCTATGAAACCATAGAAAACCATGGAAAAGGGATCGAGAATTTTACTGGTACTAATAAATCCTACTGTGTGGACTAGTGCATAGTTTACACCTGAGAAATGTGTAGATAGCACATTTACGTGAGTTAAGTTGATAGATTAGTCTAGATACAACATGATTCTGAGGGCGTACATTTATTAGCCGGCCAGTGTAAAAGTTGAGTTGATAGATTTCAACACCACTTCAAAGCTGGTTTAAGAGAACGGTCATAAGTGCGGATACTTCACAAAACATAAAACATGACCTAACACGGTTCCAAACGCATTGATCAACACTAACACTCCCCCTTCCAAAGTGCATGAAAAATTCTACACTTTGATGATGCACAAGGTCTGATATAGACTTCGGAAAACCAACGGGTTTCGAGGAGAGCGACCCTTTTCTCTTCATTTAAGGTTAATCATTCTGCTCAAGAATAGCATCCATTGTTTAGCGGACTCTTACTTTGCCAACAGTCAAAAATCGTGCCATATAAAGACATGGAACATTATAAGAAGTTAAATCCGCCATGATAACTGACCTTAGAAAGTGACGACACTTCAGCCTTTAGTAAGTAGAAGTTATCCACCGAAGGGCACGCACGCGAGTTCACAAAACAATCAGTTACACTGAAGAATGGGTTAAAATCTAGCTGTCCGGTATACATGCTGCGGTGACCAGCGCACACGGGACGCTGATAAGATGATGTTGGATCAAACGACGATCTTATCCAAAACCAAAGAGTGCGAGAATGGCAGAGACATGGTGAACACGAGTCAAAATTAATTAAATTCTTATTGCTACGACTGCTTGCGAGTAAAGCACAAATCCAGGAGTCGGATTGAGATTCGGGAAACTCATCCTCTAGCAAACCCACAAGACTTTGCGGAATGGAAATTCGGTGATTGCAAACATACTCGCGGCACCGCGAACGTGCGACTGACAACAAAGATTCAGCATGGATTTATAACAGGAATTCTTAAAGGTTAATCAACAAAGACGATCCAGAAACAGAGTTAACCCATATTGAGCTGACGAAACATAAAATGGAGATGGCTCAGCATACATCTAGGCTTTACCGTTTTTTCTTCTCAAAGCTAAAGTCACGCCCTTAGTATGCAATTTATTTTTAGCGTGACGGGGAGTTAAAGCACTGCAACGGGAACAGCCTGCGTTTTTTAAGACTCAACTGCAGAAAATCTACGAAGATGTGGCTCATTGGGACCAAAAACAGGTACCAAGTATCAACTAAATAGGGTTGCAGGCTAAGGAATTTTAATTAAAAATTTAGAAGCAATCAAGAGAAACAATAGCAATCTACTATCTAGAATATGAACCGCTTCACCTCTGGAAAAGCATATCCACAGAAATCATTATCTTCTCACAAGATAGAAAGTCAGCAAAACAAATAACTAGATTCAGGGCAAAATACGCAAAAAACAGCACAAGATAGGTGCATAGAGTAAAGTAAATGGGTACTAAGTTCA